TATTGGTGTTGAAGTAGAGCAAGAGACGAGTGCACCCCCTCCTAAAAAAAATCCTGGATCCGCCCCTGCCACGACGGCGAGGGCGGTGAAAACATCACTTAACGAGTGATTTCGCTTTCTTTGAAACGCCAGTGCGGTTATCCCAACCCGGAGTAGAATTCCTAAACAAAAATGCCCCAGTTAAAAAAAAACAGCAAAAACAAAGGAGAAAATCGAACCTTCCTCCAGGTAACAAGCAGGACATGTTCAACAAAGGTCTTACTCGATTCACGTGGAGTCTTTTTCGAGTGCCTCAAAATCGAGCAACCGGAAGAAAGGCTCTACTTGCAGGCTGTTATACTCTCGGCGACTGCCACCAAACGCTAGCTTCCAGTTTGATAAAATTGATTGTTCCTGCTGTAGGTACCGAGGCACAAATAAGTAAGGGACTGGTCATTATTTATCGCCCTTGGCGGGCGGGCGGGGGAGGGAGGATTTGGGGCTAAACAAGGTGAAATTTAGCCGACCCCCCCTTTAACTATTACTTCACTGAAGTGATCCCCCCTAAGAACATTTGATGACTTTCACGATCCCCCCACCCATCTTCATTTTCCAAGCAAATTGGAGTGCCCGCCCCTCTGAATCCTTTTAAATTTTTCAGTGGTCCCCCTTTTGGGTTCTCAGTTAGGACTGATCCCCCCTTTTGTTCTCGCTAAAAATCAAGTGATCTCCCCCAAACTCTCCCCCCTCCAAGGCGATAAATAATGACCGGTCCCTATAACAAAAGAAACAAAACAACCAAACAATAAAGCCCCCAGGAGAACTCTATTGTTTGTTTCTTTTGTTTCTCTTGTGATGACGGTACCAGAAGAAAGACCCAAATTGATTACTTTTTTGATTGGCAGAAGCTCCAGCCAGTCCCAGAGCCCAAGAAGGAGTGTAGAGACGTTCAGCCGCTAACAGGCAAAGCAGAAAAGGGTGCGATATGGTGTTCCTAGAGTTTTTTGAATTCTTAATCTCTACAGTTGTGAGAGCTATTTTATATTTCAATTTAATATATTTGGTTTAAGATTGTGTGATCGATTTCGTGTAATTTTATAGACCATTACAGTAATTGGCAGTTCCAAATGGATAGATTCTGTTGTATTTTAAAAGTTTTTTTAAAAGTATTTGTAGAAATTTCTACGTCTTAACGAGGAAAGCCCTTTTACTGAGTAGTTTTACTGGCCTGCGAGAAAGCTGTCTGTTTTGGCTCATGGAGGACTAGACAAGCGGCGAGGGGATTGGGGCGGTTCTTGGACCACCCTGCTCTTCCCCAGTCTTTGCGCACTGGTTGCGGATTGCAGTTTGCAAGAGAAATATTCCCTTGCCATGGCATTGTCGACAGGGTTCGGTTTGTCGACCATAGTTTTTACTGTTTGAGCTTTCTTGATTAGGCAGATTCTTAAAAAGTCTGGAAACACGTTTTGAAAAAAAAAAGTGTGGCAAAACCAATACAAATGCGGACCTTGTGAAGAGGTTGGTTTGCCAAGAGTGTGATAGGATTTAAAAATGCGTTAAGTAGCAAGTTTATCGTTATTAAGGAAAGGACTACACGCGTCATGTTCATCAAGTTGAAAGACCATGTGTCTCTTAAAAACAAGTAGCTTTTAAAAATTCTTATTAAGGGCTAAACATATACGAATCTTTGAAGGTTTAGTTATGTTTATTATACAGTCGAACCGCCCGTAAGCGACCACCCAAAATGCAAAGCCTTAGTGGTCGCTTACAAGAATCGAACCACAGGGCGCCTCTTCCAAGAAAGAGGTTGGGGCACATCTACTTTATGGAAGATAATTTATTGCATACAATTTTTAAGTTAAACCATGTGTAGTTCCATGTTATTACCAAAGTTCTTCGTATATTCTAAGTAGCACTTTGCACAAAGCAAACATAGAGATTAGAGAATGCGTCAAGTGCTCGCTTTCAAGACGTTAAAAACAATAGAAAATCATTAAACTTTCAGACCCAAAAAGAGGTCGCGGTCGCTCACAGGAGGTGGTCGTTTACTAGAGATTCCAACTGTAAGGCTTTGACTGGGAAAGTTTTGGTGTTTGGATTGGTGGTCGCTTATGGAAGGTGGTCGCACATGAAGGTTCGACTGTAACAGTGAATGATCTATTCACGGGTTTTTACTGCACTGTTGAATTAATTTTATTACAGATTTAACTATCAAAAAAGAGCCTGGCGTCACCCACAATAGTTTTGTTGGACTGGAATGGGTTTCTTTTAGGAATAGATTCGACTTGGTTTGCGTTTATGCCAGAGTGATACTAAAAATAAAACAGCGAAGTTTGGTAAATGGTTTCCTTATTTATGCAGCGACATTTCTTACTAAGGTAAACTGCTTATACACGAGCAAGTCCCTTTAGAAGGAAGCTTCTACGTATAAATGTGGAGTTTAAAACAAGAAATAAGGTCCTGAAAAGTGGTTGGATTAGCACTTTTGAAGACGACAGTGAAGCCAACCTTGACCACGGTCAACGAAGGATATAAAAGCTAAGCAAAATATTTCTGAGCTACGATTGTCATTTTCACTGTCAAATATTTAATGACATATCCACGTCGCGGTGGTAATTTGTTTATCAATCAAGGGGTCGGTGGAAAAAGGGCACATCTGACAAATTTGGGTGTTATTGACTTTGATCAAAATTGCTAATTTTTCGCATAGAAGGGGCTTGTCTTTGTGTGTTAATTGTGATAATTAATTTCAGATCAAACTACGTGGTCTTGGACCACTTGGCTTGGACTTGAATAAGAAGAGTACTTGCGCCCGCCCCCCACCCCTTCCCAAATTTGAGGATGATAAACAGAGAGGATAATTGACGCAGCTATTATGAAAATCTAATCAACTGGAATGACCCTTGTGCTAAACCAAGATAGCAACGCTGCAACGCTTTCAATTATTCTGTACATTAAAATAATAAACTTCTATGATAAAGTTCCTTACAGTAGTAAGGGGCGTTGACCGTTCTTTGCGTCATCCTCGTGCGTCGGTCAACTGCCACGAGTGTAGCAATGGATCTTAGGATCACAGCTTACTGTGGCCATTGGCGTTTTCTTGTTAAATGTCACATAGCGACATTCATTGCTGTCAATAGGTTTAAAATTTTGTTGCTAAACGGCTAGGCGATGCAATTTGCTGGTACCGTTATTCTGTAATTTAGTTCGTGTTTGTAAACGCTGCTATGATTCTAGATCTAACGGTGTAACTTCAGAATGTCCCATTGCTCAGCGAAGACTCTTTGAAAGCTGGTATCTTTTCTAACAGAAAATGCCTGGGATAAAAATAAAAAAAGAAGGATAAATTCAGCATTTTAAATTTAGATACTGAGGCTGTAGTCAATGTACTTTGTGAACTTCTCGGAAAAGTTCGCAAAGTTTCTGATACGACGCCATGTGTACTTTTGCAAATGAAACTTCAATTTGGCGCACCCCGTTCTTCCAATAAAAGGTGAATAATAGTCGCTTAAACGACTCGTTTCTCGTTAGTGAATTGAAAAAGGCCTGCGGTCAAAGTTCATCCGGGGAGGAAAGAGGGATATCACACGATTTTCCCGCGTAAACCTCGATTACATGCTAGTTCCAGTCCATTACCGAGTAAACGTTCGTAACGTTCAAAAGGGAGCTTAAGCAACAGCGTTTTTGAGCGACGAACGTCAACCGGAAGTGAATTTTTTGCATCATTGGGCAGTGGTTTGGTTGAAACTCTCAGGTACATTGTCTTTATAAGAGAAAAAAAACTTAACAATACAAATTTGTTAGCGTCAAGGCATATAAAAAGGGAGAAAGGCTCACTTCCGGTTGACGTGCGTCGCTCAAAAACGTCTTTGCTTAAGCTCCCTATTGAAACGCTTCCTACCTCGCTCTCTCTGCCATCTCGTCACCAGACCAGCGCGGGCTGTAAGGGTAACCCATCTCAAGCTTCTCGTATGGTTGATTATTCTTTTCGTGGTAAATCGACTGAAGATAAAACGCTGGTGGTTCTTGAGGAAAGTTCCTGTCCAGTTCAACTTAAATTTTAAAGTAAAACGGAACAACAATAAAGGTTTCGAACTTGAAATATTTTCAAGCGTGGAGGATAGGAAAGTGGTTTGGGACAGCTTACGACTTCCCTGGGTACCAGAGGTTTTTCTCGCGTGCGGCGGGAATTTTTGGTGTCGGGACACATCTTCGGCCGTAAGCCGAAGCCGCGAGAAAAACGGGCGGGTCACTATTAAGACTTGACAGAAACTGGAAACCGCGCTAGAAAAGTCTCTGGCACCCAGGGTAGCTTACTACATACAAAACCAAAAAAAAAAAAACATTGTCTTTCCTCTTCCAAATGAAGACTGAGCTTGTAAACTGTTTGCAAGACTAAGGATAGAATCCTAAAGCGTAACTCTTTATGAAAATCAGCCGGAAGTGTTTCCCTTGGTGCTGTATGAATTTATTGGGTATCACAGCATCAAATTATAATGAGAATTTTCTCAACTGAGATTAGTTTTCCTGAGCTACGCAAGCAAAGAACTCCAGCCTAATCTCTGTAATATTAAGCCCTCCCAGAAGGGGACTGACTTTTCCAACCACTTTTTTGGGCGCGAAGGGTGCGGTCTTATTCAAAAATGGTCTGGCAACTCTTGGTAATTCGTTTTGATTCAACGTAGGGCACTCAATCCATGGTTTGCAAACTTTTTTTTATCAGTCAGTTATCTTACAACGAACCTTTGAGTTGGTGCAGTCTGTAGATAGTGATTAACTACATGCACAGCTGTTTTCAAATACTTTTTTCACATTAAGTGACTGTTATAACAGTTAAACAAAGCTTCAACAATTAGAAACTTAGCAGCGATTCAGTTCCAGGTGTGAAATTTTTAGCGCACCACCATTCAGCATTCAAGCACCAACCACACTCTCACGTGGAAACACGGGTTTGGATACAGCCAGCAAATCATGCAATCATGCAATGAATGGAGCGATTACTAAAAAAAATGTATAATAAGACCAAACGCACTTACTATGAACGATGCAAAAGAATCCTTGGACTTGAAATAACAAAGAGAGCTTCATGAAGCCTTCTGCATCATATTCCAATATGGAGCTGCAGATTAAAGAACCATAAAATAAGGTCATCCATTCTACAGTATTCTGATGCGTGAATGTCGGGCAGACGTAAGAGGTATTGGCAAGCCTGGCTCTCACTTTTGGAGTAATAAGTCCGACATTGTGTCTTGCTCTTTCAAACAGGCTTGACGAAGCTTAATTGTTCTCCTGGATATGGCACCTTTCGAATGTCTTCCTTCACTGCACACGTTAAACGCGGTCAGTTGATCAACTAATAGTTCTTCGTATATTCTAAGTAGCACTTTGCACAAAGCAAACATAGAGATTAGAGAATGCGTCAAGTGCTCGCTTTCAAGACGTTAAAAACAATAGAAAATCATTAAACTTTCAGACCCAAAAAGAGGTCGCGGTCGCTCACAGGAGGTGGTCGTTTACTAGAGATTCCAACTGTAAGGCTTTGACTGGGAAAGTTTTGGTGTTTGGATTGGTGGTCGCTTATGGAAGGTGGTCGCACATGAAGGTTCGACTGTAACAGTGAATGATCTATTCACGGGTTTTTACTGCACTGTTGAATTAATTTTATTACAGATTTAACTATCAAAAAAGAGCCTGGCGTCACCCACAATAGTTTTGTTGGACTGGAATGGGTTTCTTTTAGGAATAGATTCGACTTGGTTTGCGTTTATGCCAGAGTGATACTAAAAATAAAACAGCGAAGTTTGGTAAATGGTTTCCTTATTTATGCAGCGACATTTCTTACTAAGGTAAACTGCTTATACACGAGCAAGTCCCTTTAGAAGGAAGCTTCTACGTATAAATGTGGAGTTTAAAACAAGAAATAAGGTCCTGAAAAGTGGTTGGATTAGCACTTTTGAAGACGACAGTGAAGCCAACCTTGACCACGGTCAACGAAGGATATAAAAGCTAAGCAAAATATTTCTGAGCTACGATTGTCATTTTCACTGTCAAATATTTAATGACATATCCACGTCGCGGTGGTAATTTGTTTATCAATCAAGGGGTCGGTGGAAAAAGGGCACATCTGACAAATTTGGGTGTTATTGACTTTGATCAAAATTGCTAATTTTTCGCATAGAAGGGGCTTGTCTTTGTGTGTTAATTGTGATAATTAATTTCAGATCAAACTACGTGGTCTTAGTGGCTTGGACTTGAATAAGAAGAGTACTTGCGCCCGCCCCCCACCCCTTCCCAAATTTGAGGATGATAAACAGAGAGGATAATTGACGCAGCTATTATGAAAATCTAATCAACTGGAATGACCCTTGTGCTAAACCAAGATAGCAACGCTGCAACGCTTTCAATTATTCTGTACATTAAAATAATAAACTTCTATGATAAAGTTCCTTACAGTAGTAAGGGGCGTTGACCGTTCTTTGCGTCATCCTCGTGCGTCGGTCAACTGCCACGAGTGTAGCAATGGATCTTGGGATCACAGCTTACTGTGGCCATTGGCGTTTTCTTGTTAAATGTCACATAGCGACATTCATTGCTGTCAATAGGTTTAAAATTTTGTTGCTAAACGGCTAGGCGATGCAATTTGCTGGTACCGTTATTCTGTAATTTAGTTCGTGTTTGTAAACGCTGCTATGATTCTAGATCTAACGGTGTAACTTCAGAATGTCCCATTGCTCAGCGAAGACTCTTTGAAGGCTGGTATCTTTTCTAACAGAAAATGCCTGGGATAAAAATAAAAAAAGAAGGATAAATTCAGCATTTTAAATTTAGATACTGAGGCTGTAGTCAATGTACTTTGTGAACTTCTCGGAAAAGTTCGCAAAGTTTCTGATACGACGCCATGTGTACTTTTGCAAATGAAACTTCAATTTGGCGCACCCCGTTCTTCCAATAAAAGGTGAATAATAGTCGCTTAAACGACTCGTTTCTCGTTAGTGAATTGAAAAAGGCCTGCGGTCAAAGTTCATCCGGGGAGGAAAGAGGGATATCACACGATTTTCCCGCGTAAACCTCGATTACATGCTAGTTCCATAGAAATAAAATTTCGTCGTTGCTTGTTTACGTCCTCCTTAAAACGCGAAATTAGGCATTGTCACGTCGAAGTCGTGCAAAAACAGGAAAGAAATGTACAAAAAAGCGTGATACACGTGCAAAGTTGTTGTTTTGCTTATTAAACCTTTTGTTTTTTTGACTTTCTCGTTACCGTCCGCGTCATTGGGTCTTAAAGTCCCTACTTGCTCGTGAGCGCGGCGATCCTCAGTGGCTGCAGGCAGTTTACTATAAAGACTATAAACGCGACCTGGTTTCTTACCTTCCAAACGCACTCAAAAAAGCTGCTACGTATTCTCTTCGTTTCTGGAATGCCTGGCAAACTTGCTCAACCTCACAAACAAAAAACAAAAGATAAGAGACAAAGGATAAGAAACAGCTTCGCAAGGACTAAAATGAAAAACTTACAAACATAAAGGAAAATGAGCTGTTCGATGAACGCTACAACTGTAAAAAATTAAATCCCTCGTGTTTAAAAATTTTTGAAAAATAATCAGTTTGTACCGGAGAGAATGAACTTTTCTCTCTACCACATGATCCTCTTTAATCAATATGGCCAACTCAACTACTGGCCCATATTACAAAAGTTGGCAATTGAAGGAAAAAAAACCACAATAGCAGACTCACCCTTTCTGCAAAGAGTTCCTGAATAAGAGGGAGGTATTCAAACAGGCACCCATGAATTCCACCCCAATGAGGTATGCGCAAGTTACTTGAGCCACCGAATGCTCTACAATAAGACAATTTTAATTGATTTCAATTAAAAAATGATGAACAGGTAGCTTAAATAAAATAACCTATACTGCTGTTTGACATAAAGCTAAAAATATATAAATAGACAACGGTTTTAAGCATTGCATTATGAAGGTGTCACAAACGTCCTACTTTGAGCCCAAACCTTCCATAATGGCCTGACAACTAGCTTCAATCTAAGACATAACACCTGACACAAAATAATATCAACTAGGTCAAACTTTTTTGTGACCGGGCAACTGCTAGGTAAAAGTGTGAGGTATTCAAATTTGGTTAAAATGAATGTTGGTACCAATATTTGATCAATATAAATATTGAGAACACAAATTTGGTAAGCATGGTGATCCCTCCTATGTGCCAGAGTGGGATTAACATTAACACAATATTGCTACCGCTCTGCTCTTTCTGCATATTCAGATTAAAGGATTAGCATTGTTCCAATGTTGCAACCGCTGTGTCACCTTTCTACTCTTGGTGATAGCAGAAGTGTTGGTGTGACATTTTCTCCATTAAGGGAAGCATAGGACACCAATAAGCAGGCCATGTCATCTCCTGGACAATCCTAACAATCCGAAAACAGAAAAGAAAGTAGGAATGAACATTAAAATCTTGCGTCTGGTCCTTATCAATGTATTCATAACATGTACATAATAGATGAAATTCTTACACTGTTGAACTTTTGACATGCCTGGTTTCTGCAAAATTGCTAAGAGGATTGTCAAAACTTCAAGGCTCACTCAAAAATAGTTCAGCAATTTGACAGTCACTGAGAACAATCTACAGACATTTTGGACAGGATTGTAAGAATAATAAATTGCAGTACCCTGGGATGTCAATTTCCCTTACCTAATTCCTGATAATTCTTCCTGTCTCAGGAACTTTATCAAACCGTACGCATGGGTTATTTCTTATATATTTCAAAAACGGACCTCTGCGGAATGAAGCCAGGGTAGAATTTTCAAGACATCTTATGAAGACTAATGTTTATTGTAGCCAGATAAAATAATTTCTCACCCTAATTAGGTATGGTGGCACTTCACGTAGGTCAACTGGAAGCTTAATCATAAAGTTCACCACTGTTTCAACATGCTAATACAAAAAAAAAAAAAAATCAGCAGAAAAATAAACATTATTACCAAAAAAAGCATTAGAGAACTACATTTATGTTACTTAACTATTGCCCACCTGTTGGCCTTTGATAACATGCACTTCAAATTCAGGATACTTTGTGTCAGCTTCAAGTGTACTGTATTCAAACTCAATCCTTGGGATTTCTTTAACTTGTCTTTTCTGGTGTTCCTTGTATTGAATGACAAGTTCTTTGATCAGGTTTAACAAGCTTTCAGGATCCCTTGCATCCCAGTTTTCTAGAGTCTATGGATAAGAAAAAAAGTTTGGAGCAGGCAAATGGGTGAGGGAAGAAAATGACCGAAGCAAAACAACAACAACAAAAAATCAAAAGAATGATTGATTTATAATAGCCTTAGTAATGGTTCATGTTGGTTTGGCCCCTAGGCTTCGCTAAATGATGAAAACTGTTAGTGTGACATTTTTTCTCAGCATAGTACAACAGTATAATATAGGATTTGTTTGTACAACCTGTACCAATGAGAGGGGCTTGTAAGGGAGCAACCCTAAAACAACTTTACTTAAACACCCAACTGTCAGAAACCCTGAGACACCACAATACTGAACGTTTTAGCCAGATAGCAGGCCTACCATTAATTTAAGCTGTGGATCTGCCCATTATTCATTTTTGTATTTATGATAATAAAAGTACTTTGATCAGTTTTGAGAATAGACAAGGCTATGCTATACTAGCACCTGGTGGCCCCTGTGGGTGCCTAACTTTTGCTCCTGGGCAACTAGAAAACCATAGCTTTTTTTCATAGAAATTATACGCTGAGCACCATGGCTTTCACAAGTTCAGAGCAATTGGCTCCCTTCAATTTTTACTAGAGCACAGCCCTGACAAAGAGAATATTATGTACCCAGTAGTCAAATTTCTTTTTTGACGTTGACTAAATCCGTTTCTAATTCACTCCAAAGTTCTCACCACAAATTGATAAAATATTTAATTGTATTTGAATACTGGGGTGCATTTACATTGTAACTATAGTGACAGTAAATTGTCACCTTAAGCTCCTCAATGTTGGGAACAAACTCCTGATCTTGTGTTCCAAAAATAAAATCTGGTGGAAAATCTGGTTGGGCCTGATTAAATAATACCTCCCCTGAAAATTAAATTAAAATAAAGTTGGTAAAGAAAATCATGTAACATTCCTAATGAAAATGAACCATTTGAATATCTTAGCCTGTTTACAGACCTCTGATTGTCTCTTTTTTGTAGAACATAGCAAGTTCTAATACAACTCTAAAACACATGTTCTGTACTAGTTATACAGGTAAAACATGAACATCCTTACATCTTAGTGTTCTACCAGCATATGGAATCAATACTTTGAACCGGTCGCAAGATCTGATGGTGTCGCATGGATATGACAAGCTGTAAAAAACAACAGGAAATTAACGAGTGTCATAATGCAAGGATTAAAATTGCACCCGCGTCCAAGAAGAATGTTTCTACAACAATTTGTCAAAAAAGGGAATGGTATTTCGAAACAAAACTATTTGCTGTTGTTAATAAGACATTTAGTTGTGCTAGGAAGTAACTGTCGACGACATCTATCCTCACTTTCATTTCGATTCATTAGCAATGATAATCATGTGTGTAAAGATTCACCAATTCCATACCTTGTTTTTGGATCGGAAACTTTAGGTAATTCGCCGCAAACTCCAAACCCTCCATTATCCAGCAGTGCTTTTACAAACTTTGCGATGTCAGGATGGAAACGTTGCAGCACATCAGCCGCCATAACACGACAAAATAAATGAAAAACTCATCAAAGCATGTCGCGTTACGACAATAACTACATTTCCGCCATAAGAAAATTCCCGCGGTAGACTGGGGACAGTGTATTTTATTTGAAGTAGAGTAATGTTTTGGTAGTATCCGCTGAAAACTGGGGTCCTTATTTTTTCTACGAAATGGAGAAATTATCTGGAATACCTTCTTTCCTCGTTCCTCCAAAAGGAGTACGAGGATCCAAGATCTTAAACAAAGAGGCCTTTAAAACTATCATCAATCTCCCTGCTCTTCGAATCGAGGCCAAAAAATGCTCACTTTTCTTAAAAAGTCTCAGCAAATGCTTGTTAAATCAACCTCGCTTGAGAAACATCGTGCCAGACACCACAGCGAAAGACAAAAAGCTTCTTCTTCTGAACCCACAGAAACCATTGGCAGGTTTAGAGGAGCATGATCGAAAGTTTGCCGAGAGCCATGGAGCAGAAGAGACGATGTATGAGTTAGTTTTGGGTTATGAGCATTGGACCTCTGAACAAGTATTGAGAGCAGTCTTGCCGCTTGAAATCAGTGAAGTGCCTTCTTCCTTTGAAACTATTGGACACATAGCACATGTGAATTTAAGAGATTCTCAGCTAGATTACAAGAAATTAATCGGTGGGTGTTTTTCCTTTCACACACTCCTAGGTCCTAGAAGACAAAAAAAATTTGGGATCAACCTAATGTAGGTTTGATAAAAGCTGGAACATTCCATTTGGTATAACGAGGCCAAGGGTTACCGGTCATTTAGCCCCAGTTACTTTGCCCCCTTTTCTAGAACGAGGAATACCGTATATCCTGTATTAAGCCCCCCCTTTCAAATAAGCCCCCTCCCTCTAACAAGTCCCCCTCTTTTCCCCTCTTTTCAGGGGAAGAAAGTTAATAGGTCCCCCCTCTCTATTAAGCCCCCCTCCCTCCCCTAATCATTCTTCACTAATAAAATACAGACTGTGTTAATCAATCACAAATGTAAAACTTCGTGTGAACTGATCCAGGATGGTTTATTTACCAACCGGAAGTTCGACATTGATTCTGATCCTTGGCTGCATGACCTAAAACTTCTTGTACTTGAGCTTTTCCTCTTCGTTTTCTAGTTCTTTATGGAGAACTAATACCATTGTCTTTTCTAAAATATATAAATCCCCTCTCTCAAATAAGCCCCTCGGGGGGCTTAATAGAGGATTTACGGTATTAGATTTGAAGCGTGCTTGTTTTGCTTTCTGGCTTATAGAAAGAGGAATATTACATTTGAAGCATGCTAAATGACTTGAAAATAGGGGGCTAAGTTACCAGGACGAAATGACCGGTTACCGGTCAAAGTAATTTTTTTTTTTTTATATCTTCCTTAACAGGGCAAGTGCTATTGGACAAGAATTCACCTCAAATCAAAACTGTTGTAAACAAGACTAACACCATTCATGACATCTTTCGCTTCTTCCAAATGGAAGTTATAGCAGGAGAGAACAACTTGTACACCTCCGTAAAACAAGATGGTTGTATTTTTGAGTTTGACTTTTCAAAAGTGTATTGGAATTCTCGTCTTCAGATGGAACATAGTCGTCTTGTTGAGCTCTTTGATCCTGGTGATGTTGTCTGTGACATGTTTGCTGGTGTGGGTCCCTTTGCTATCCCTGCGGCAAAGAGAGGATGTATCGTTTATGCAAATGACTTGAATCCAGCGTCATATGAAGCACTATTAAAGAACTCCAAACTTAATCATGTGGAGAATAAAGTGCATGCTTTTAACATGGATGGAAGGGAATTTATGAGAAAAATGATTCAGTTATCAACATCCTCATCATTAAATAAATTGTCTTCAACATCATCATCATCATCAATGTCAGCCTCATCCTCCTCCACATCACTATTTTCGTCCTCAACATCGTCATCCTTAACGTCACCTTCATTATCGTGGGATAATTCTAGTGAGGATAATGGTAAAAATTGCTTAAAACCCTTTGCTCACGTTGTGATGAATCTTCCTGCAAGTGCTGTTGAATTTCTTGATGTTTTTCGGGGTCTGTACTCTGCGCACAGACACTTGGCTCTTCCCACAATCCACTGTTATTGCTTCTCTAAATCCCAGTCTCCTGGTGAAGATGCAAAGAAGCAGGTTGAGGAGAGACTGGGAAGTAGCCTTACAAGTCAGTGTACCATTCACTGTGTACGTGATGTTGCGCCAAAGAAAGTTATGGTCTGTGTCTCATTTAAGCTGCCAACTTCTGTTGCTTTTGCTGATGCTGGTCCTAAATCTGATACTGAGTCTAAGCGACACCGAGATGACTGTGGTAAGTGGATGTATAGCTTAAGAAATGGTCCAGATAAGAACGATAGCAACAACGGCAACGAACATGTTGGAATGCAAAAAAGGTGCTAACTTTTCTATTGTCTGTACTTACTTCTGATTGGCTTAAACAGTATAAGTTACCAAAACTTCATAAAGCAGTACATATATTAATCCTTACTTTCCAACCATCTTCCATATAACAAAATCTGGTCTCAGTTTGAATAACAAAGAAATCCTATGTGGGGAACATGTAAAATTGTAAACTTTTCTTGGCTATTGTTTTCAACTCTTGTGATTGGTCAAAATCTTTTAACACAAAAAAACACCCTTTCAAAGTGGAGAGTAAATGCATTTTATTGCGTAAACGGCCTTCATGTAGGTTTATGCATTCTCTGTGTAAAAATGAGAACATTCCTATGTGGGGAAAGCACCATTGCTGCATAACAAAAGAAATTGCTATCCACCTTACCCGGATCATTACTTAAAGTTTTAGTTTGATCTTTGATGTAAGAGAGATACTAAAGAGCATACTATAAGAATTTGACCAGACCACCTTTCATGGAGTCTTTAAGGCATGAGCCAAGCCATCCTGGTGTAGCAGGCCAGTTGGGCTAACCTGGCTGGCTCACCCACGTGAACAGGCTGCTATTAAAGATTTGGACTAAACCTGCCCTTTTTTTCTTGTTCTTATAGTTCATGCTGAGAAAGACCCCAAGCAGGCCAAGTTGGAACTGTGATAGTTAAGGAAAAATGGAATAAAGTGTCATCTTTTGTTGTCTACATTTAATAAAGTCCTATAATTTTATTGAGCTGTTTAGGTTTAATTGGTTAGTTTTTAATTAGTAACAGTCAAACCAGGTCAAATGTACCCCATGGATTCCAGTAATGCCTAGTTTTTTTTTGTGGTGAATTGAGCCTTTTTTTAGTGTCAATCATTGTTGTGGCAGTGCTTATTCTCTTCTTGGTCAGAGTAAAAAAATCTTTGAGACCTAATTATGAAGACATTGGTCACTATAAATGTAGAAAAGATCATCAGTCACAAGATGAAAACCTGAAATTTTTTCGTTTTTTTTCTTGCAACTACACAAGTTGCGAATATTACTGTAATGAACTTCTCTACTTAATTACTTCATTGTGCAGTGCAAATATGAAATTTATATATTCATCATTTCACTGGTCTTTACTTTATAATATCAAATTTACCAAGAAACTTGAGTGTGCGGAAATTTTATCTTTGAATTCACTACCCCCTATGCAGGCAAGTAAATTAGGCTTCATGAGCTCAAGCTTGACTTGGTTTGACTAAGATGTTTTCAATGTAGCTGGTGTAAAACTGCCCCCTAGCCTCAGAAGAAAATTGGGAAATGGGCGTCGCCCCTTTCCTGATTCTTTTCTGAGGGAACGCTGTATACAGGTGATCTTCAATAGTTATGACAAATGAGGAATATCCGTTTGTTTCAAGTCATATGCTTTATTAACTTTGGCCTGACATTGGTGTGTATCTTAATATTTCCAGTACTGGCCAGCAGTAGTTTTCTATGGTGTGCACAGCGTCTAAGCCGAGTTGTCTTCTCCAGGAGTCTATTAGCAAGGACGCATTGCTCCTAAAAGTAGCATATTCGTGCACGTTCCTACGGTCGTGCGAGTTCGTACTGTTCGCCAAAAATTCGTAGACATGATCGGAGATCGGAAAACCAGCGAAGTCAAACAATTCCTTTGAAAGATTGAACGGCGATCGTACCAAGTCCTCGTAGCGGATCAGCTTGTAATTGTGTGGGAATTTAGCTTCCGCCGATAGCGCAAAGCTTAACGAACGTACCATGTCATAACAAAACTTGCGCGTTAAAGCTTTAAACAGTGAGAAGTCTTTTGTGACTGTATTAACTACATTGTTGTTTAAAGTCCAACCCACGCGATCCATCGATGCGATCACAGCTCTCGGATCGCGCATTAAGTGAATAATTTTCAGTTTACTGCTTGAATTAAACAGAGGTGCAAGTTTATCCACATCGAGAAGGGGTAGAAGACGATGCAGCAGAACTTTAACTACAATGTGTTTGTGAACCGCACATGAAAGAGATGTTATGAGAGGATCCAAATCTTGGCAGTGCATGTAGGTGCGGTTTTCTCGCGCGTTTGTCAAGTTCTTGCAGTAAGGCGAGGTCAAAGCGCGGCTGGAAAACCGATTTAAAGGCATTTTCGACATGAACGATAAAAACTCCCTTTGCTGATCAAATCTGCAACTGAAGATGTCGCGCAAAAGTCTCACTGTGGACTGCTCGTACAGTTTTGAATCGCGAACTGTGGTGAGCTGAAACGTTATCAGAGGCTCGTAAATGTAAAACACTTCTTGGTGGCTGTTGAAAATCTGTCCCAAAAATGACGAACCCGATCTTCCTTGCGCTAGAATCAGCACGTTTGTTTTTTCCTTGGTTGGCCTCTTTGAGGGGCTCAGGGACACAAGATTTGGATACCACGTATAGGTCTTTATTACAATGCACGCCACGGTACCAAGAGCAACGAGGGCCAATATCCCGGGCACTCGCCGAGGTTTAGCCATGCATACGAGTGGCTCTTTTTAAATGGGTGCTCTTAGCTGCCTTTTTGGTCCATGACGGAACCTGCTAATGGAATAAGTTTGAATTCAAATTTGAAATACAGATTTAATAAAACGAAACTGTTTTTTTTTCTTCATAGTTTGAGAAACAAAAAAAAGGGCAAGGCTTGAAGGAACGAAAACCCTTTAAAACTTGACCGGCAGAAATTATTCCACGACCTCAAAGACCACAATTACTGTGTATAATTATGTTGTACATCTCCATACCTTTGAAAGGTTGTTTTACGCGCTAATCTTTGTCATCTGTGTCATGCCAGCAAGGCAAAAGCTTAGAATCAACAAAAAATATAATTCTAGATTTTTTAAACCCGCTTTTTAAGTCTAACCCATGTCTTCTATAAAGAGACTCTTTGCAATAAAGTTTGTTTTCCTTAACGATGACGAAACAAATTTTAGGTTGGATGTTTGCACTCTGCGAGAAATTGTCATATTATGATAAACAGCGCATTTGAGCCTTTTTCCAACTGTTGTGATAAACCAAGCGGGCCATTTTTAACATCCGACGAGTTTTGCGGAAGATCTTTCCTTGAACAGCTTAACCGGTGATACGAAATTGTTGATATTTAACGCTACGGTGATCGTTGCGTTAAAAAATGGTCCTATGCATCCCTGAGTGCTAGAGCGTTGAAAAAGTACTTACCGTGTCTAAACAAATACTCGATTAAACTTCAAATCCAGGTTAAATTGGGCACTGAAGATCTCAACCCGCAGAGCAAAAGGCGATTCGGTTCACAAACTCCAGTCTGGGATCCAGTGTTTGCCATTGTGAAGTCGAGTTGCTTGAAGACTCGTCACTGACTCGCACTGTCGGTTTCTTGTGCTGTTGTCACTAGGAAACAGGTGGAATATCATCGCTTCGACGGCTCGATGTTACGAGAAAAAAATGTTTGCTGGTGTTTGCACTCAACGTTTGTTTGCTAAACAACCGAGAACGTGAATTCCTCTTTTTGTCGCTTCACTAAAAGTGGCAAATAATGCATTATACAGTCGAGTTCAGTACACTTGCACGTGCTATGTAGACAACGACTTCTTGCAAGGTCAGAAAGAAGACTTTCCTTTCCAAAAACCCTGTGACGCTTTTTTTCCGTGTGTCAGATGTTTCTTTTAGTTTAAAATAAAAGATTGCCGGATGCAGAAAAATTCCTAGCGCAAACTTACAACTCGTTCGACTCGATTATAGCAGTGAAGTGTCGACTTCTAAGTTTGACTGTGTGAGCGAACTGAAAGAATTTTGTTTGATGTAAGTTTTTTTCTCTTGCGATAAGATGACCATCCTCGAAAAGACTCTTGGATCCTCTCGGATAAGAACAGACCTACAAACACACGTTTTCCCGCGGTTTTTTTTTCGGATTCTGATTTGGTTCTTTTGACTTTTTTCCTGTACAGTGATGATTGAAGTTGCTGTCAAGCACCAACACAGAGCCCAATACTGGTACACTGAAACAGGTTTTTAGTAAAAAACAAACGTTATAGTTACGCGTTACAGAACACTACATCAGATCGTCACTTCTTAAAACTAAGAAACGTTAGCGCACCTAATCCTTGTAAATACTGTATACAAATTATAAACTTTAAGGTACTAACTAATTTTACTGCCAACAAAATAAAAACTTCATCTGCCGTTGTGATGATCCAAAGCTTGCACGAGGCATACCACATCAAATAAATGTGGTTATTGTGGATTCAAAAAGGTTGTTGAATTTGAGAAGAACCCATAGATATCTAAGTCCCTTGACGACTGATTACCGTGGGCTTGATTATCGATTTCGAAAGTTTCCGCCTTGGTGAAGCTACAAGATTGTAGTCAATAATTTGATAGGCCAATTAAACATCAAAGAAACCGGCAATCCAATGACGAACTATAGGAACTAAAACATTAGCCTATCATGTCGCTGCTTCTGTCTAATGTAATTGGCTTCGTCTATCTGATAAAGCTTTTCAAACTCTTCTCTAAAGTCCCGTAACGAGGGTTGTTGTTCACAGCTGGGGATGTTGAGAAGAGAATCGAATAACCTGCCCCAAATGGGATTCCAATACCTACAAGAAATGGAACGATATACCTTTTATAGTTGACTATAAGATATACCCATTTGATCATAATATAGGCCCGCAGACAGCCCTATCACATATCTACTTAAGCCCAGTGGGTCTAGATCCAAATCAGCCTGAAAAACTTGGACTGCATTGGCCCTAATCAAGATAGCTGAAGTACAGTCAAATCTTTCTTAACGAACACCTCAGTCAATAAGATGGGCCTCTCGCTAAAACGGACGCCTAGAGTTGGCCCCTGCCTTTACATGACGGACATCTCTTTAAGACAGACACATAGTACCGTTCCCAAAGGCAGCGTGCAAAGAAAGTGGTGTCCGATAACCTGGGGCTAGTCAGTGAATTCTGTTCTTAACTTGCCCGATCGGCGAGTGATTTTTTGCGGGAATTCAAATTACAGAAGAAATGAAATCAATCCTGCTCATCAAATCTTTTTCAGGCTAGTTAAAATAACTTTCGGGCTGGTACATGCTACCTACAGCTTGCCCGAATGGCAAGCTGTAGAACTGACTTTCTTTGCACCCTGCAAAGGTGTCCATGTTAGGGCCTGATTACAAGGAGAGAGGGTTACCCTTGTTCTAGGGTTACCCTACGCAATTTCACGTCGTAGTCGTGCCGTGACGGCAGAGAAATGTACAAAAAAGCTTGCTGCACGTGCAGAGTTGTTGTCTTGACTATTCAACCTATTGCTTTTTTGCCGTTTTCGTTGACGTCGTTGTCACAGGTCAATTTCCCAACCTTAAAAGAGATAGATAGGTGAAGAAAACCGGAACGTACCTTCGGAAACATTTTGTGATTTTCCATCTACCTTTATCGTCTTTGTTAACTTTCATGTAATCTTGGAACAAAAGACAATGTACTGTGCCCAGGATACCGTACATATCAACCTGTACAACAAGGAGGCAAAAACAACGTCTGAATGTCGCTTGCTAGCCTGCGTAACAGGCGCTTGGAAGTAGTGAGCACAAGTAAAAACCGGCGCGCGAGAAGGAGACACGCGAGGGGAGAGGAAGCCCCTCACCCCTCGCGTGTCTCCCTTGCGCGCGCCCGTTCTCTCTTTAGCTCACTACTTCCAAGCGCCTGCTACGCAGGCTTGTAGCTTGCTAGCAAAAAGGGAACCAGGATTGATGTTAACAGACATGTACAGTGGAACCTGGTTAATAAAGAGCTTTAGATTTGAGGAAGAGGACGACTATTAGAACGAGTTTTAACTTAAAGTTTTGTCGCGTTTTATCGAAAAGTATTCAACCCGGAAAGCTTCAATGTACTACTTTTTACCTGAAAAATTAGTGCGGTTATTTTTATTGGAGAAGGCTTAGCCCTTTACGGTTACAAAATGATTAAACTTCTAAAATTTGATAACTTGTTCCCGCCAGTACGACATTCTCGCTAAAACTCGTAGTAGAATGACGACGGCTACCACGTTTTCCCGCCAAAATGACGCTGGTTCACGCGCGTGCACTACTTAGTATTGAGAAAATCTCGTACTCATAGCCGTCCTCGTTTCAAAATCTAAAGCTCTCTAATACGGACACTAACACACATTTCATTTTGTCTGTATTATCCGAGTGTCCGTATTAAGCGTACTCTTAAGACAAAAACTTCATGGATTCCTTTTTTATCTATGTAAAGATACAAAAAAGCAAAAAAGCCGAGGAATTGAAACTTGTGTAACAGGAGGCAGAAAACGTTATCAAAGAACCACAGCATAAGAGTCAAACACCGGAAGAAAGACGGACTGACCAAAATCAAACACGTCACGCGCTTTCGCTACTGTTTTTTTTTTTTGGAAAAAAATGGTATTAAACCGTAGAAATCAGGGTACAATAGTAACAATTGGCACACAACTTAACTAGACCTGAGTGCGCAGATACCCAGCGTCCGTAAAGAGGGATTGGGGATATACGAGAGTTTGGGACACAGAGGAGTGTCCGTTTTCCGTATTAAGCCGGTTAATTTTGGAGGAAAAATATGAACTTTTCGTCAGGACAAACGAAACTGTCCGATGCACGGGTGTCCGTGGTGCGGGGTTACACTGCACCAGATAAAGTTGCTGAGGTACTGTACCTGTGTGGTCCAAGCTCTACCTTCTTTCATCTCGATACACTGAAAGTCTTCTGTGTAGCAGTTAGCGGAGAATGTTGTCCCAGCTGGAAACAGCTTCATGTCAATACTGCGTCCAAAATCAATAAGCTTCAGTGCGGCGCAATCGGGTGTGTCTACATCGCTACAAGAAAAAAAAGCCACCTTACAGGAGTTCAAAGAAAAGAGCCCTAATAAAAATAGACGGCGAGCAGTTTCTCTTTTTCTACGGATTAGTGGAGGGAGTTCACGCACGCGCGAGCGTCGAAGCAATGAGACGCGCCAAACGAGGGCGGCTGCCCGAGAAGAAAAAAGCGCCTCTCCCGTCACGCGCGTGGTCATTTCGTGTCTCGCGCGTTTCACTTGACGGCCCAAGAAAAAAGAGAGACTGTTCTTAGGGACCGGTCATTATTTATGTGGGGGGGATTTTTTTTGTTTTAGCATGAAAGAAAAAACGTGACCCACCCCTTTAAGCCCATTAGTTAATTCTTGGCCCACCCCCATATAACTTTATATAAGAGGTGACCCAGCCCCAACCCCCTTCAATCTATACCTCTATAAGGAGTTCCTGTTCACTGAACGAAATCAGCATATCTTGTGGACCAGTGTCCTACCCTGCGGCCACTTCTTGTTGATGTGCCTTCTTGTATTGTTACAGTATGACTGTCATCATCTGATTCACTTTTGCTATCACTTTCATCACACAAAACAAGGTCATTGTCACTGTCACTCTCATCACTGTCCTCACCAACACTGACGCTTGAAGGAAATGTAGATTGATTCGCTTGATTTTGTCGATTTTCTTTCCGTTATTGCTAAGTTTATTATGCTCAATGTATTTGTCCAACTCGGGGGCTTTCAGAGTGTCAAGCTCCCCCTTCTCTACAAGTGTTTTCCAGTCATAGCAATGTACATCTTTTAAGGCTCGAACTTGCTTTCTTTTCTTCGCTCTTGCTTACGGATCTCATTGACACTTAGGTTGGGTACCTACATGTGACATCCAGTTGTGTCATATTTTATGTCCAGTATTGCATTAGAATTTATTTAGATCTTCCACATGAATTGTAGTGAGTGTGATTCTTTACAAAACACACAATGACCCACCCCCAATCATCGTGAAATTCTGTTTTGGCCCACCCCTTTTCTCTAAAAAAAAATAGGCCTGGCCCACCCCATGATTCCCCCCCACATAAATAATGACCGGTCCCTTAGTCTATACTTGAATGACATCAGACATCTGGGAAGGTTGGGTTTTTGAGAGGAAAACGCGAATAATTGGAAAGAGATCAATCAGCCAGTGAAACTCAGACCAAGAGATCTCTTGACTCAAACCATATATTGCGTCACCTTCGAAATACTGGCAACCAGGGCCACAATGGTTGGACCAAGAGAACTCATAATTGACTACGAGTAGACCCTCATTTTCTTCGAATACAATACACAAGCGCGCTTGAAAATTGCTACGTGCGAGGAGAAGGAGTAACGCATTACACCCTCCTGGCGGATGGCAATTTTCAAGCGTGCTCGCGTGATTTGCTCCCAATACTATCCCTTAGGAAAACGAGGGACTGATTACTCGTAATGTAGACTCACAACGGCGCCAGTCTTACGTTTCAAAATGGACTAGAGGTAAAGATGAAGTCTCTGCCCTTGTCAACAAACTCGTCACTCTACTTACGTGTCCAATACAAGGAAGTTGTCTGGTTTAACATCACCATGGATGATCTGGCACGAGTGTGACACTTCAAGGATGCGCAACAGTGCGATTGTGTAAAAAAACATTACACCTTCTTCTATGCTCTTCTTATTGAGTTTGTATTTGTTCACCATGTCCTGGGGAAAAGAAGTTCATTAAATTAACTTTTTATGAGGTAAGAATAGTGGAATTAGTAAGAAATTTGTTCATGGACACAAAAGAAAACACTCTGTTCAGAAGATTTTTGCATGATGCTGAATTAAACACGGAGTAATATAACAACATATGCATGTGTAATAAATGGGAAATGTGGTCGCGGGGTTACTTAACCCATTTTTGGCAAATGGTTCGCAATTATGCAAAATATCTCTTTTAGTTTGAAAATAGCATTCAAGAACGTCGAAGCATGTTTGATCTCTCCAAATTTGAAGTTTTAGTGAGAGGTGTAAATCACTTTCCTTGCGGTGCCGATAACAACATTGTAAAACAGGCTTTTCTTAGAAGGTTCATAAGTAAAGATTCAAGAACGTGAGTGTATGTGCTGTGTCTTAAAGAACGGTTTCAATTTAATGTCGCAGGAACAAAAGCAAAGTAATTTACTTTGACCAATCACAATGAGCACAAAAAAACAACAAACAAAAAACAATCCGTAACAAAGTATGTAGCCGACGGGAAGCGCGGGAAAAAGCGTGCGAAAGTCATTATTGCACCTGATTGGATTGCATGACCCAAGAACAAAAGCCAAAAAATTGCTTTAACCAATCAAAATGAGCGCAAACAATCCATGAGCCAATCAGAAATTGCAAAAAAATTCTGTAGCCGAGGGGAAGCGCGGGAAATTAAACGTGTGAGAAAGTCACCATTGCACCTGTTTGGATTAAATGTTACAAAGACAAAAGCAAAGTAATAAAGCTTAGATGTTTCTTGCTTAGACCAATCAAGAATGAGCGCAAACAACCCATGAGCAATTCCATGAGCCAATCAGAACATGCAACAGAGTATGTAGCCGACGGTAAGCGCGGGAAATTAAACGCCTGAGAGTGTCACAATGGAACCTGACTGGATAAAAAAGGGCGCGAAAAAATAAGCTAGTAGTGCAGTGTACCGAAGCAATGTTACTGTACTTACGAGAATCGTTCCAAGCGGCTTGTATCTATCCAGCAACACGGACGATTTGGAGTAGACATAAGCTGCCAGCGGATTCATAAACATTTCATGCTAAACAGATAGATAAAAGTCAAACAATTGAATTTGTTAACAACACTAACAACTGTTTTCCTTGGGCAGTGAAACACCTAAGTGTTTAAAATACACAACTAGAGAGCTTAAACGCATTTTTTTCGCGAATTATCCTCACCAGCTCCTTTGAACAGCCAAGAACTTGCATTCTGTTATGAAGTTGCCTGCTGATGTAGAACTCCCATTCGATGGAAATCTTCTGAACCTGTTGTTAAGATCGCAGAATAGGTTAGCCGGGGAGCCACTACATCAGAGCAAACGTAATTTATCGGTTAGTTAAAAGTAAGTAATATTTACCTTCAATACAACCTTCTCATCGTCAGTCTCGTCATCAGGTCGTTTGCTTGCTAAGTACACTTTGGCAAAAGCTCCTGACCCAATTAGATTCTCTACGTGGTAAATATCATCATTTCCTAAAATATACAACATCAAAAACAAAATCACTGTTACAGTATTTTCGTAATCAACGATCTCGGCGTGTTTGGTTAATCCAGCAGTTATTACAGTCAGTCGTTACTCAATTCGGCCCGGTGTTTACTAAGCAAGGGTTTTCGATAGGCGCTTTTTGGAGAGTAGAAAAATATATTTCCGGCCTCGTGTATAGGACACTAGGAGGTCTTAACCTTGTAATTTGTCAAAAACGATCATGTGATTGTTACTGACAATTTTGCTTTCGAAACTAAGATATTGCAGTTAAAAAAATGAAAACGAGGATATTTGGATCCTCACTTTTCACGAAAATTAGTTTACTGTTTTAACAGGCATTTTCGGTCATGCTCCTTCCATTTTCGCAAATTTTAAGTGAACGCGAAAAAAACCCAAATAAGTATCCTCAGAAAGGTTGGGAAAACTAAGAACAGAAAGACACAAAGACAGAACACAAAGATATTCGACTGCAGACTGTCCACAGACTTTTTTTCTCGCTTTTTTCCCGCCTTTATTTCGATCCCTTGCGCCAGCCGTCAATTCAATACAGAAAGTCCAGAATAAATATAAATACACAAAAAGCCAAGCCAAGAATCAAGTCTGTGCGATTATTCTTATGCGAGATATTCGGAAAAACGTTTTACACAAATTTATAAGGCTTTGTATGGAGACGCCATGTTGGTGTCCCTTTGAGGGGAGTTTTCCCATCCGCCAGCTAAATGCCCCGTCACTCAAAAGCCTGGAAATTCAAGCCTCTTCTATCGCAAAACGAAGAACCCTTTGGAACCGAAAATTTGTATAAATAAAGGTTTTTAGGTGCTGTAATACCTCATGAAAGTAGAAACTCAGATTAGAAACTCAGATTCGATAGTTTCTTAGTTTCAATTTTTGGTGACGTCATGTGAAAACCCCTAATACAAACGCGTCCGACGATCTCTTAGGAGAAAATAAAGGGTCTGTGAACAGACTAGTTCGACTGGCACAACAAAAATGGGGGTTCTGATATTAATAAAACGATTCCTAACCTACCAAAACACACTGAAATATTAGTTGCAATTTTTGGCATCTCCCGGCTGCAAACAGTAAATCCTTCATAATCTGACAAAGGAGGGTTAATCCTGCTTAGAAATGCATCGACAACATCCCCCGCGAAAGGATTGACCACAGCCGGACCAACATTGGTTTCCTGTGGTAAAGTCTCAGCCTGGCACAAACTTGTCTCTTCTTGGATTTTACTCAGTTCCAGTCCATTATGCTGGGACACGGTTGAACACGAGCCTCGCCTTGAAGACCCGTTTGACAAGTGGCTAGAGTTGGTCGAGTTGGAGTCCTCGTTGCTTCCCTCAAATATAGGGCTCAGGGCTTTACTGGGCGTTGAGGCAAAGCTCGCAGCGTTTGCACAAGCCGATGAATATTCCGCCTCCTCAGAAGTTAAGTCCTTCATTTCTGAATTTTCATTGGTTGGACGGATTGTGCTCCACGGAATGTTGGGTAGCGAGGATGGGCCAATGCCAGAGCAGAATGGAGTCGAGGCCATTCGGGCGGCGGCAGCAAAGTTTCCTGTGGTGAAAGCGGTTTGATCGTGAGTGAAGTCTGCAAGCGACACCTCGCCAGTTTTATCGCGATGGTAGGATGGCTGACAGCTTTTAGGAAACGGGTCTGCGTCATTTTCATCATTGTGACCAATCATTTCATCGTCTTCATCTTCACTGGTTTCTAATGGGCATGTGGGAATACCTACAGATGGTTGAAGTACCCCAGCCAATGGACGGCGTATTGCCTCTTGCTGACTGCCCGTCGGAGGCCTACATGTCCACAAAAACAGAAATTTTCATTTCATGAGATTTCCTAAATACTCCTTTAGGATTATACGAATACGATTACGTTTTCTTTAATAAGTTTGTGATGTGTTTACAACTTAAACGGACAAAGAAAACTTGATGTGACACCTGCACAATCCGCCAAAAAACCGTATCATGTGAAGATGCTCTTTTACAAAAACCCAGAAATGCACCTAAATCACCTAGTACGTGACCAGGGCTCGAACGCGGAAGGTAGAAATTTGTTGTTAATTCTTTCCTTTGCTCCGAGAGATTTTTCTCCGCGTTCTCCGGTTATTCCCTCTCCTCGAAAACTACCATTTTCAAATTCCAATTCGAGCAGGAATGGTGGACGAGGAACTGCTAAGTGAAAGTGTTACTACTAAAATATCAGTCATTCATTCCTTTCTTCTTTTTCTCTTAAAGGAATTCTCCTGGCATAGACGTTATTAAAAGGTGGAATAATTAATGTTTCAAAAGGTACGAACAAACTTACATATTTTCTTTATCTTCTGCGTCATTTTCTTTGTTTGCTTTATTTTCGTTGTTGGTAGCTGTTTCATCATAAATAACGAATCCACCAGCGCCTCCAAATCCATCTACAGTACATTTACATAAACGGTTCAGAAAATCAAATGTAGTGAAAACCATACAGTAAAACCCCGGCGAGTGAACCTCATTTTTTTTGGGAAAAAAAAGAAAAGAAAAAAAACTTGACCGTTGAATATTCTAGCAGCGTTTCACAAGTCATGAAATTGTTTCAATGGAAAAAAATTCTGTTCGACTTTGTTCCTCCTTTTTTTTTGTCTTTGGTTACTCAATTTCAGCAGAGTCTGTCTATACTTGACAAATTGAGCGAGTTGGAATATAATCACGATGACGTTTTGAAAGACCCCCAAAACACCTCATTGCAAACGACGTTTTAGCTACCCTGGCTGTCATGGTATCTTACTCCAAGTTGGCTTTTTTCCTCTATAAAACTATGCCCTACCCGCGATTAATGCCAAGAGCCCCGTGATAGCCGCCTGTTCACAGACCCTCTATTTTCTTTTCAAAGTCCGTCGAGCACACGTGATAAAAAATAAAAACCGCGGGGGATTTATTGACCACCAGAAAAAAGAAACGAAAAGAAAAATAAAACAACGTCTGTGTACAGGCTAGCTCCGTGACAGATAAAATGAGGCCAAAACAATGGCCCATTACAGGTTCAAGCAGCAAGGGAGTGGGAAAGCTTGGAATCAAATGAGTCACTATTCATTTAGAAATCTAAAAAAACCCATCGTTCTATTAAAAAAATTAATAATAATAATAATAATAATAATAATAATAGAAACACAAGTTTACTGATGTTTTTACTTAGATTTTATAGAGTATTAGAGTTTGATATTATTCTAAATAGGCTTTTAGTAGAGATAACCACATTATGATGGCCTCGTTTAGGTATATAAGAGATAATGAGAGTATTAAAACTGAATAATTTTAGATAAATAGGCTTCTAGTAGAGATAATTATATCATCATGTCTTTGCATAGGTTTTACAGAGTATAAGAATTTAATGATTTTCTAATTTGGCTTTTTAAGTAGGGAGATTCATATCATTATGTATATTAGGATTGTATTTGGTTTCGTACCGACCTTTTTTTACTTCTAAGTATAGCTTCTCAAGTGGTGTAGGTTACATTATGCACCCTATACTACTCATAATGTGGACAGTGTTCCAAAGTTTTATACTGCCAGATAATAATAATAAGTCACCTAGGAGAATGGTAACTTGTACCTACCTAATCCTCCTAACTCTGCAGCGAAAGAAGTACGTGTAGTTTGATCATTACTGAATGCCGCTTCAAAGTCTCTATCTGTCTGATCCAGTTGATTAAAATCACGTTCCGACTCTAGAGGCCCAGCAAACATGTCACGAACTACCATCAGCGCCTGCTTGGTAAACACAGTCGGCGATGGGCCGGTAAGATTTGAGCTGTTTAAATCACCTGATTTATTGGCATCTGGGGTTCGAGAGAAAACGTTGAATTTGTTGCCTGTGATTGACTCATGAGCAAAAGGCATGCCATTTACCGAAGAGGTCTCAGGAACAGAAGCCGCACCCACTTTAGAGTCACTTGAAGGGTTTTGAAGTCTGTTTTCCTGATCGTGGTAGTTTGAAATGTTTGGTGGTCTACTTGCTTGTGTAACTTGGGGCATCAACTCGCTGGGTTTGTTCTGTACTCCATAGCCTACTGGTTGAAAAGCAGATTTACCATATCCAAACTGAGGAACATTTGATGGCACAGATATAGCGTCAAACTGTGATCTCTCATCCAATGCACTTGAATTTTGTACAGGCGGAGTGCTGTAGTGATCTGTGAAAGCCAAACCCCGCCTGGCTACTGGCTCCCCACTGTAAACGTAAAATCATTCACAAACATCACATCGAAGAAAAAATACCCTTTCTATAAAATACAATAGTCTTCTTTATAAATGTGCTCTCAAGAGTGGTGAACTCTCCAAAGGCAAACATTTCCCTCCCTTCAGTTTCTGAGATAGACGTATCACAAGAGAGACGTCTGCATTTTGCACCCAAAAATCCCATGCTGATGACGTAATTCTGTCGAGAATCTGGTGAGGTGCTCGCTTGCTTACTCTCTCGGCATTTGTTTACAAATGACTGGCAAAAGTAAAAAGGACACAAAGGTTAAGAGAAATCCCACTTAATGATGTAGCAAGAAAGACTTATTTCCACGCAAAATGTTATTTTACTAGAAGCATTTGAGGTTTGACCAGGAGATCTTAAACTACAACTCAACGAGGTAAAAATTTACATTTGGAACCCTATGAAGACCAGATTTATTTTGTAGACATGATTTGTCATCAATATTTTCATGGTTGTACTTTATTTTTGAGCAAGAGTGACTACAAATAAAGATTGTGGTTGTTGTTGAAGTTTTTAAGCCAAAACCAAGTCTCTATCTCAAAATGTTTCTGTACAAGTTGGCAGTGGGAGGGAGTGACAAGAGGTGGCTACATAAATTGCAGGCTTATCCTGCAATACCCCGTCATCACATATTTTACGAAGTTGTTTTAGTGGACGAAACTGAACGACTACATTTTACTAACAAAAGGAGTTTCGAACCAAAGGGACACCGGAACTGGTGCGGGAAAACTGTCGAAGGATACAGCATGGGGCAGGGATCTTCATTGCTGGGCAAACCTCTGGAGCTCTCAACAAAGCTTGAAGCACAAGTTGATTTTTTAGAGTCTGATTGGTTAACTGCTATCAAATATTTCTTTCGCCTAGCCAAATATCTCCTTGCAAGAATTTCCTCATACTGAAACTCGCCCTCAAATGAGTAGACCTCTCTCTTAGGGTACATGTATCTTACATTTTGTTGTTGCTCTTGCTTTACGTCTGCTGGTTTATATGTCCCCTCCCTTATTTTTGAAAAGATCCTGGCTGCTCGGAGTTCCTCGAAGGAGAATTCCTCTGTTCCTGCATAAATTTTTTCTTTGCAGTACATAACTCTGGTCGTCTGGATTTCAGCATTTTCTGTCTGTAAGTCAGGGGACAAAATGGTGGAAATGATACATCAAAGGAATAGCCACAGGCAACCCAAGTTTCACTAAAAAGAGACTGTAGTTGGCCCTGACATAAACTGTGAGTGCACTGAGGTCATAAGTAACCAACTTGGTAAGAGTGGTACTGAAGAAATGAACAATGATTCTAGGTGCATAGATTTTGAGTTGTTAATAAAGCTGTGTACCCAAGCTTAAATGCAAGAGGGTCCTCTGAAGGATTTAATTCTTGTACGTGCTGCAATTTTACCCTCCACATGAAAGATACAAACTTGATTGATTTCTTAATAAGCCATGTTTCAGGTTAAAAAAGACCAGTCACATAGCCAGGGTTTTCATAAAGAATTCTAGTAGTAGGAAAAAGGTGTAATGTTACAGGAGAACATTATTTTTGAAAGAGGCTCCAAGTCTGAATAAAAAATAGTCATAGCCTACTGAACATTTGCCAGAGAAGTCTGCCTAGTAAATGGAGAATTCTCAGATCTCTGATGCCTAATGGGAGAATTCTGTGTAGTAAAAAGAGAATTCTTGGATCTCCAATGCTTAATGAACGCCCTGTATCAGTATAGCATAGTCAAATTGGTTGGATATTAAATTAAAACAGTGTCAATTTATTCATTTTATTTTATTAGCTTTGTCCTGAAGAATACAAAAAAAAAAAACACTGTAGATATGCAAACACTAGTAATAAGAACGTAACAATACACTAATAATAACTTAAATATTAGGGCAGGGACACCGCAACAGCTAAAGCCAATTACTGCCGACCCAAAAAATAAAAAGATATAAAAGTAGCAATTTAAATCACATGCAGCAGCTAATTTCCTGGTCTAAAAACCTGGCTGTGTTACATTTCAGGCAAATACTTTTGAAGCTCCTTGGAGAGTCTCGGTCATAGTTTATTACTAGAGCCTGCGAGTAATAACCGTAAAGAACAGATTTAAAGTTCTCAAAAGTAACATTATCTCGGTCAAGTCTAGTAATAAGCAGGTTCCAGATTCTAGTGGTTCTAACGAAAAAAGATTTCTGAAAGGTAGAAATCCTGCATTGTTTAGGCACAAAAGATTGAGAGCTCATTACGGATATACAGGTCCTTTGCGCGCATTCATGCACGAAGGGAACAACAGACGGATCTAAGTGAATCATGTTATGCGTAGCCTTGTAAAAGTATACTAGATCAAGTAACTCGTGCCAGTAGTACACAGGAAGTAGGTTTATAGCTTGCTATATCCAAAGTAAACATGCGGCAAAAATGTACGCTATTCCTCACAGTACCTTATTTCTAAGGGCTTCCATAACAGAGTGCTTATCGGGCTTTTTTGCACTCAGTACTTTGTCAAACTGCAAGACTTGCTTTGGAGCTGGAGTGGGGTGGTTAACAACGTCGTCATCTACATGGACTGAAAAGGTAGGCTTCTGAGGCATACATGTACCATTGAGGGGAACTGAAATCTGATTTCTCTGAGAGACCTAGATAAAGATAAGCAAAATCATCACTGACATTGTTTTTTCCTTACAATGTAGTTCTCATGCAGTTAACTAGTCTGCTCCACAGCCGTTGTTTTTTTGTGTTGTCATACAATGACATGAAGAACAGTTGTGAAGCAGACCAGTTAACGTCTTTGCAAAATACTATAACTTCAGCTAAGAAATGAGCCCCAGTGCGACTTTTACTCTCCAGCATGGCAGTTTTGCAGTTTTGTGAATTCATGGCTAGTTGAATATCACACTTTTATAAGCCAATATTATCCTTTTTCTACAAATTACTGTACCTTCGCATCAGTCCATTTTCCAGGTTTTTGTGTGTTTTCCTTTCTTATCACTGGTTCTGTGGGGGGCATTTGCCACTCCCCAGTAGATGGGGGTAGGGAACTAGCAGCATCAGGGTAATCATCACAAAAAATTTTAAAACCACTACTTGATGTGTTACCAGTCTGGAATGCAGCAACACTTATGCCACCTTTATTGGCTGAAAGAGCAAGACAACATTAAATAATATTATTAACTTACAACCACTTGACTAATTGAATATTGGATTGTTTATTATGAATTGTTTATTGAATCAAGAAACAAAATCATTTTTCCATTAATAAATTCATTAGTCCGTTAGCGATGGGAATGCTTGACCTGCTTTGACTGTAAGCATATAATTATACAGTGTAGTACTCACTCACTACATGTAGTACTATGGTCCCACCAAAGGGGTACCGTTTCATGCATGGTTACTGTAACACCATAAGATCTTAACCAGGCCGCAGTTGACTTGTTCAAATGTTTAGTAGCGTTATCCATCAGACATATCAGTATCCAGCAGATGAGAAGTGGATGTGATTTATCCAGTGTATAGTGCTATCTTTTTAACAACTGGGGCCAGAGTTTTAAAAGTTGGAATCATTTGACAAATCATCTCATCAGAACTCCATCAGTATTAGAGTGGGGGGGGGGGGAGGGGGTTACACTGTACTTACAGAGTGTTGCGCTTCCAGTTCGTTTGGTTCCCACTGTCCCTTTCTTGCCTTGCCTCTTCAGACCACCTAATGTGGTTCGCTCTGGTTCAGAATTTTCCTGCAGCTTCACCTCTTGTAATCCATTGGCAACTCTTTCAGTCAGGCGCATCTCAAATGCCCTTAATCAAATTACAAAGGAATGTCTCTCAGAGCTGTGCTCTAGCAGTGCCTGGCTGGCCTGTGGCACCTAACTTTTGCTTCTGGGCGACTAGAACATCTTAGTTTTTTTCATAGAAATCATATGCTGGGTACCTTGGATTTCACAAGTTCAGAGCACTGGGCTCCCTTTAATTTTTCTGAGAGCACAGCATTGATTCCTAAATGAATATCTCAATAGTGAACAGCGATCCCAAACAAAGCAAAACGATCTTACTACCTGTGTTGTTTGATTAGTCTCTCCACTGGTTGAGCAGTCCTATGGATCCCTAGGTTATAGACTTCATCTGCCTTCTTGTGATTCCCAAAACTCTCTAAAAGCTGAGCCCAAGACTCGTAGAAAAGAGCTAGTCCACTGCAAACTTGCTGACTGTGCATATAGTTGAAAATGTCCATAGGATTTGTGGACATGTCACTCTACAGAAAGTTAAAATCATTTCTATTACTAATAATACAGCTGGGCGACTCTATACATTGAAGACATCATCTTAATGTTTACATGCAGGATAAGGCTCCAACATTTGCCATGTACATGTGCACTTGCTATAATCTTTCCTTCCCCCTCCTTGTCTCAAAACAGACGGATACAATCCCTAACAGGCCAATAAGAATCCCGGTAAGGATTGCCCTGGTAGGGGGTAATCTCACGCCCCATTTCAGTTGCAAGTAAATCTATATTTGAACCTCCATTAAGTGGCAACCTTGGGGCTACCGGCAAGTGGCCGCTTAATAGCCTACATTGCAGGCATCAGGAATAAATAGGCACAAGAGAAAACAAGACACGCGAGGGAGACTATAGTGCCTGCTACGCAGGCTAGCTGCTTATAATGGAGGTTGGCAGCTCAATAGAGGTTTGTCATAAATTTGCATTAGCATAATCGTTAGTAGAAACATCACTTTATTTTGAATCAAACACGCGATGGGGGAAGCAATAATGGTCCACAATTGGTCGTCACCTACCTCGGACTGTATTTTCTTCATCATATTCTTAAAATGAAGCCAAGCTAAGTGTATCAAGCACTGGATGGCTGCTCAGTAGAGTTGAGAACAAGAGGAGAACCCTTGTTGGGATGGTTGCTTAACAGGGGTTTAATTACCCATTCTTTTCCACAATTACCGCAAAATTCCGAAAATAAGCCCCTCCAAATATAAGCCCCCCAAACTCGTAATGCAAAAAATCCTCGGCCCCCCCAGGAGCTTGTACTTGGAAAATTGCTCTCAAATACAAAGTAAAACAAAGCAAAAATGGTAAATTTTTGGTAAATAAATAAAATGGTAAATAAGGCTAGCCCTATCGATTTTGAAATGTAAATTTCCCTCTGTAGATAAGCCCCTCCAAAAATAAGCCGCTCAAAAAGCGCCTTTGAAAAATATAAGCCCTGGGGCTTATTTTCGGAATTTTACGGTATTTTGAGACTTTGATTACTGGCCACTTAAGGTGACTCGACCCAGTTTTTTGGGGGGGTACCATCCTACTTTGAAGCTCTCTGGTATCCCCACCTTTACTTTTATCGTAAGTCTAACACATAGAATGGATAACATATAGATCAATCTACAATATAACATAAAATTTTTGGCGATCGGAGTAAATGTCACGTGGTTATAATGCCACGCCCCTTTGAGGTCTGAGTCGAAAATCTGCTGTTGCCGGCATTTTTTCGTGAAAATCTCTCGGCTACACATAGTGCGCATTAGTGCCTTGCGCTGAACAGAGTTTCACCAAAATCGCAAAGACCCAATTCGAGAAATTCAGCGGTTTCCAAATTTAGGTCATAATTTATGCGAAAATGATAAGCAAACTTTACACGGATTATATCTAATAAACTATGAGATTCATCTCTTTATTTTGGGCATCGTTATAACAGATGGGTCCTTGCAAGTCAGCAAAACGCTTTAGGGCCTTGTAAATGCGCGCGATTTCGAGCAAAGCAAACATATAGAAATTATAGTTTTCGCTATTTGTTGACGTTTGTCAGCGTTTAAGAGTCCTTCTCACGAAAAAAGCATTTTCTTAAAAATTCGTAGTTTTTTTTCCTTCAAATTTTTTCAGGGCCACAATTGATTAACTAACTACCCGGACTCTGAATTTCATGGTCATTGAAAAACTGTGACATTATCTTCTATAAGCCCAAACTTGAGTAAACATTGAAGATTTTTAGCGTTTTGGCTGAGTTTGTGCTTTGGGAGTTGTCTATTGTTTCTAGTCTGTCATTATACAGCATTCTTGTTCAGCACGCGTGCAATGACCGCGCTTGGCTGACTTCCGAATGCTCACCGAGATATAATAATTTTGGTACAGTGAGACAGGCCATCGCGTGATACATAGAGGTTTAAGTCACAATTTTTAATCAATTCTCGTGCTTCTTGTGCCTTTGCAAAAAAATCAAGAAGTGCTACACACTAAATCTACTTACTATTAAAAAAATATCATTTTTTCATAGGTTTAATGCAAGCCAATAATTAAACCAACTCGTGACGGGAATATCTCGGTGAGCATTCGGAAGTCAGCCAAGCGTGGTCATTGCACGCGTGCTGAACAAGAATGCTGTATAATGACAGACTAGAAACAATAGACAACTCCCAAAGCACAAACTCAGCCAAAACGCTAAAAATCTTCAATGTTTACTCAAGTTTGGGCTTATAGAAGATAATGTCACAGTTTTTCAATGACCATGAAATTCAGAGTCCGGGTAGTTAGTTAATCAATTGTGGCCCTGAAAAAATTTGAAGGAAAAAAAACTACGAATTTTTAAGAAAATGCTTTTTTCGTGAGAAGGACTCTTAAACGCTGACAAACGTCAACAAATAGCGAAAACTATAATTTCTATATGTTTGCTTTGCTCGAAATCGCGCGCATTTACAAGGCCCTAAAGCGTTTTGCTGACTTGCAAGGACCCATCTGTTATAACGATGCCCAAAATAAAGAGATGAATCTCATAGTTTATTAGATATAATCCGTGTAAAGTTTGCTTATCATTTTCGCATAAATTATGACCTAAATTTGGAAACCGCTGAATTTCTCGAATTGGGTCTTTGCGATTTTGGTGAAACTCTGTTCAGCGCAAGGCACTAATGCGCACTATGTGTAGCCGAGAGATTTTCACGAAAAAATGCCGGCAACAGCAGATTTTCGACTCAGACCTCAAAGGGGCGTGGCATTATAACCACGTGACATTTACTCCGATCGCCAAAAATTTTATGTTATATTGTAGATTGATCTATATGTTATCCATTCTATGTGTTAGACTTACGATAAAAGTAAAGGTGGGGATACCAGAGAGCTTCAAAGTAGGATGGTACCCCCCCAAAAAAACTGGGTCGAGTCACCTTAATATGGGGCGGCCGTTTAATCGAGGTTCAACTGTACCACTTAAGCCCCTCTTTTTACTGGCTTTTTTTAAATCTGCCCCCCTCCTCCCTTCCCCGTGCAGCTTCACTAGCTGCCCGCGCTAATCAGACAGGACCAGGGACAGCACTTTTCTGGTGCCACAAGTGGCCAGGTATTCTGAAGTTTAACCGATCCCGAGGATCAAAAAGTATAAAATCCTGCCAATTTTAATATTGCATCACTGAACCTTTTCAGTCTAAAAAAAGGCAGCATAAATATAAATATATACTCACGTAACGAAGCCAGACTTTGGCATATCGTTCATCGTTCTTGTATCTTTCCTGGTCCTTGAAAAATGTCATGCAGCGCTCCAGCAGATTCGCTAAATCTTTTCCACCCTTGGGAAAGTTTTCACTTGTCCAAATTATGTAACTAATACAATGTAAGAAAATCACAGTTAAATTCAGTTCTAAAATCCTAGCAGTTGGAAGTTTACTCTTTTACTTAGCAAATAGGTAGTCGCAGTTTGTGTATGCAAGATCGATTCAAAGATATGATCTTTGGTTTGCACACTCACCGGTACCAAATTTCTAGAGGGTCTTCTCCTTCGTATGTTCTAAGCTGCGCCTCAAATTCCCTTTAGATAGAAACAAAAGAGGATCAGCAAGATTTACAAGCGTTTCGAAGTGGTGAAATAATATATAACACTTACTGTTTCTCTCTAAATATCCTCGTTTGATCGACAGAGCTTGGAGCGAGCGCGGCGGTGAGGTTCGCCATCTTGCGGCCCTGTTTTAGTGGTTGCACGTTCTCTTTGCTTAATTCCCACTCGTTTCCGCTGAAGGAATCGGTGCTTCCTTCCATCTCCAAGATACTTAAAGACTTTCAGCAACCGATTGAGGCTAGAAAGACAACTAAAAGTAAACTAACTTGACAATAAAAACACCTTTGTCTCAGAAGCAAACATCGGGCGTTGATTTCAAAATCTCCCGCCGTATGACCGCTGTACTTACTAATCGCGGACTATCAATTCGCATTGAATTTTGGGTCACTATTCATAGTCAAGATGGCGGAGAAACACGCGCTTGCTAGTGATGCCGAAAGTGCGTACGAAAATGGCAGTTTTAAACGACAGAGAGTTGAATATGAAGGAGTCAGAGGACACGAACAGAGCTATTCTCAAGGAGGAAGCACGGGAACTTCCTTTATACAACCGCCTTCTCCCGTGATTCATGTTCGTGGTGTAGCCGATGAAGCCCGTGAGCAAGATCTTTTACACGCGCTGGGTGAGTTCGGTCCAATCAGGTAAAGTGGCTTCTTTTTTTAGACAGTTTTTGCAAATTTAAATGATAGGTAATAGATGAATATTTTTTCATCGTAGCGTAGGCTGTTCGTCCTGGCTTATAAGCCGTTTTGTTATTCGTGTATGTTGCTTCATCATTGAACACCTTTGAAGACTTCCACAAAATACATATACATGTGTAACCGCTTCGGCTTAACTGCAGTAACTGCAGTAACTGCAGAATACCCTGCCACTTCGAAGCTGTATCCCTGAAAGAGCTGGATACGTGGATACGCAGTTATCCCTTTTATGCGCTTTTCTACCTTCAGTGGCTTTAAGAACGACAAATAGACATACCGTATGCATTTTATGCTGTCTTAAGTGTATACTGAAGTGGATACGCGGATACGTAGTGACTATTATTTTAACGATGTTTATTAAGTGGATACGCGGATACATAGTGACAGGTGACTGAGTATCCACATATCCACCTATTTTTAGGAGTTGCTTTAAGGTTTCACGGTATTCTTCAGTTAAGTCAAAGTGGCCCCTNCGGGCGTTGATTTCAAAATCTCCCGCCGTATGACCGCTGTACTTACTAATCGCGGACTATCAATTCGCATTGAATTTTGGGTCACTATTCATAGTCAAGATGGCGGAGAAACACGCGCTTGCTAGTGATGCCGAAAGTGCGTACGAAAATGGCAGTTTTAAACGACAGAGAGTTGAATATGAAGGAGTCAGAGGACACGAACAGAGCTATTCTCAAGGAGGAAGCACGGGAACTTCCTTTATACAACCGCCTTCTCCCGTGATTCATGTTCGTGGTGTAGCCGATGAAGCCCGTGAGCAAGATCTTTTACACGCGCTGGGTGAGTTCGGTCCAATCAGGTAAAGTGGCTTCTTTTTTTAGACAGTTTTTGCAAATTTAAATGATAGTTAATAGATGAATATTTTTTCATCGTAGCGTAGGCTGTTCGTCCTGGCTTATAAGCTGTTTTTTTATTCGTGTATGTTGCTTCATCATTGAACACCTTTGAAGACTTCCACAAAATACATATACATGTGTAACCGCTTCGGCTTAACTGCAGTAACTGCAGTAACTGCAGAATACCCTGCCACTTCGAAGCTGTATCCCTGAAAGAGCTGGATACGTGGATACGCAGTTATCCCTTTTATGCGCTTTTCTACCTTCAGTGGCTTTAAGAACGACAAATAGACATACCGTACTCATTTTATGCTGTCTTAAGTGTATGTTGTAGTTAATTTTTTATCTCAGGTAACTTTTATTTTTCTTTTGTTTTTGGGTATGTTAATGTATGCTAATGAAGTTTAAACAAAAGAAAAATAAAAATTACCTGAGATAAAAAATTAACTACAACATGTATACTGAAGTGGATACGCAGATACGTAGTGACTATTATTTTAACGATGTTTATTAAGTGGATACGCGGATACATAGTGACAGGTGACTGAGTATCCACATATCCACCTATTTTTGGGAGTTCCTTTAAAGTTTCACGGTATTCTTCAGTTAAGTCAAAGTGGCCCCTTCATCATGCAAGATGTAAAATGGGCGATTGCATTGGACCAATGGAATTCTTCAGGAGTATGCTAAAAAAAATGGGGCTTTCTTTAGGGACAGAGTAGAAAAATATGGAATTCTTTGGGGGTGAAGCTTTAATTTTTGACAAAATCTTCAGGGGTGAACAAGGAAAGTTACCTTTTCACAAAATTTCAGAGGTAGACCTTAAATGTGTTCAAGGGTGAATGCAATTTTATTGAATTCTTCAGGGGCAAGAAGAAAAGGTAAGTCCTCAACCAGGGGCAGCAGGGGGTGGGGGAGAGTTTTAAAATGCAACAGCCCAATACCAAATAGAGTTTCACCAAGCTTGCAGTTGTTCAAGTTATTTGACTACTTTATTGGGTTTGTTAATTTTGTTTTAGTTGTATAACGATGATGCCTAAGTTGCGACAAGCTTTGGTAGAATTTCAAGTAAGTTCAAGATTACATGCAGGAGGTGATTTTTATTTATACTACATGGCACAAAAAGTACTGTCTGATAGGCTGGGGCCAGCTGTAAAGCATATATATAAAAGTTAGAAATTAATAACAGTATCTGTCATTAAAATAAATAGCCTTACTTGACTGAGGATGTGGTACGACTAGCTCAATCAGTAGAGCGCTTGACGGCGGAGTACAGGGTTGTCAAAAGTAGCCGGCTGCCAGCGAAAATGGCTGCCTACTTGGTTAGTAATCGCCAGCTACTCTGCTTGGCATTTCTTTACGGATGGGGTTTTTAAAATAAAATATCCTTGGTCTAGCCGGTTACTTTGACAACTCAGCCATCTACTTAAAAACTTTCTGACAACCCTGGGAGTAGGAGGTCACAGGTTGGATCCCTGGGACAGGATCAATACTGAGGGCAAGGTTTTAGCCAGGAGGGTGTCCAGCCGTCCTATGAACACCCATTTTTGGAAAAAATACAACAAAAATTCACTTAATCTCTTTTAATTTTATGGGAGAACATGCCTTCTGGACAGCCAGTTTTCAAGGTCTGGCTAAAAGCCTGACCAAGGGTCTGATAAGCAAAGGTACAGTGCAATGCCTTTTTTTTCGTAATGGCTTGGCCCTCACATGGCTCAGATGTCCTTGTAAACTGTGGTCCCATTTGCAGTAGGAGACATTCAGATACAGATAGTGTCCTCATTATTAGTACTTTTGTGGTAAATGCATTGACACTCAAATTAATAAGTTGAATGCCTGATGTTAGTTGTTATTACTTCCTTTGTTTCAGAACATCGCTTCTGCAAAAGATGTTATGGATTATACTGAGGTAAGTCTTGATATGGCCACTAACTTAAAGCCAAAACAACAAAATGATGTGATTTAGTGAATAAGGATCTGTGATTATCATTTTGAATTTTTTTTGCCGAGAAGATCTTTAGAAGAAATGCAACCAAATACTTACAAATACATTACTTAAGCAATAGTAATCAAGCAATAGTGATCAAAGTCGTCAAACAAGCTATCACATTGAAAGACATGTAGGCTTTCATATTATTTTTTTTTATTTCATTGCTGTTTTTGTTTTATTTAGGGTGGAGATGCAGAAAAGATTGTTTTGTGTGGAAGACCTTGCTATTTCAACTACTCAAAAAGCAAATCTATATCAAAGTATGTTGCTATTTTTTCCCATCTAACTTTTGTGCTAAGAAACCACCTGCAACTGAATTATTTAAATTATTTGTTCTTCACAGAAACCTCAACGTACAGGTAGAAAATCCTCCTGCCAGAATTTTGCTTATCTGCATCATCAACCCACAATATCCTGTTACCACTGTAAGTGGCATATATATTATTATATAATTTAACCCTTAGTCTTTGATATTTATTTGTTTCAAATGGTGGATAAAGTCTG